AATCTATTGCTTTAGTAAATTATAAAGGGGTTACCTATATAATGAACGATAGGCTTTGGACCAATAAGGGCGCTCGTATTATTTCGTTAATTTCTAAAAAGCGTTAAGGCAAGTAATTGATTCGTTAAAGCCATCTATTTAGCAGTCACACTCTGCTTTATCCACAGAGCAAGTCCTTATCATTTCTTTTCTTATCTCATTCAAATACCTTTTCTAGAAATTGAAAGTCTTTTTCATCCGTACTGTAAGATATTTTAAATGCAGTAACCCACTGGAGTCTGTCTTGTCTTCCTTGGATTGCCACCTTAGTCACACGAGTTAGTTGACGAAGGTCCACCTGGATCCACTGTCCCTTTTCGTTTTTTCCGGCAGACCAGGCTCCAGTCTTACCTCCACCAGCTGGACGATTGAGCCTTGCATTGCTGGGCCCATGGTTTGCAGCCCACTGCAGACAAATATGACATTTAAATTATTGTTAGTTATATAGTCAAACAGCGTTTAGATACATGACAAGCCTGATTTTTCGTTGTAAATCATTAAATTATTAATTAACAGTGTTGCAAACTGATAAAATATGTCAATTGGTTAGTTCTGAATAGTTATGTTTTTTCATAAAAAAGGAAAAAATGTTTTAAGCATTTTGTCGTGAAAATTTGGAAACATTTTGAATTAAAAAATGAGGAGTGGAAGCACAGACCTTGTTTGGAAATAACATATAGGAGTCAAGTAATGAAATTTCTCGTAGCTAAACGCCTGTGGTTGGACCAGTAAATATCCTTTTCCGTGTCTCTAAGCTGAAGGAAAAATACCCTCTCCGAAAAATTGAATGCTTCAAGTTTGGTTAAGTTCCTTACCTCTGAGGAGGCGGTAATGTCTGAGTCGGGTATATCCCCGCTTTGAAGACCAAGTGGTGATTCACATTCTGCAATTTGAAAAAAAGTTTTGATAGGATTACTGTCAAATGATTGGCGCCTTAATTTGTCAAACTACATCAAATTTACAAGGCATGATCGCAATGAGTATATTCTGATAAATGTTTGTTCCATTGTTTTTCTTTTAGTTGAATAAAAGGATCGAGTCCTCTTCCATTATTTTGCGTTTTAAGTGTTCTCAAGTACCCTCCGTTTTTTTCAAAAAGCAGTCCACACTCTAGCAATAAAAATTATCCTGGTATTTTCTTTGACTTTAAACGGTTGTTAAATATTGTATGACATACCTCCATGCGTATATCCTGTGATAAATATAATAAAAGAAGAATGTTAACTCATTATGTGATACGACGGTTTACCATTATAATTTATCTCTGAACTATTTTAGGGCTTGATTTAAGTAATTTTTAAATTTCTCTAACTGATCGTGATCGTTGGAAAGAGCGGAAAAAGAACAAATTCCATTCCTATTTACGAGCTATATAGGCATGTAGTGTGAATACAAGTGGTCAGATTAATATTCTCTCTTATTGGAACCGATTGATGGGAGTTTTATTTAGCACTTAACTCAGAAAAATTTACTGCTGAAAGGTCATATTTTGATTTAGTTTCCACCTTGAAGTAAGATCAGTGTGTTGGTTTTGTCTTACTTCGTGATTTGATTGTTCAAGAAAACTTGCACCACTTTCTAAACCAATTAGTTCTAAAAGTGAAATCAATTGAGTTAGCTGCGATATTTTCTGGCTAATCAATGTGAATTTTGAGTGCTGTTTTACAGATCATGAGTAATTTGCAAAGCCGGCTCCATGTACCTCTCACCAGAAGTTTCTCTTAAAACATTCTTTTAGCAGATCACTTGGTTTCCTAGCAACGCTCAAGCTACCTGCATCTTGCTAGTTTTAACATCCTCTAAAATAGCTTCTTATTACGAGAACCCTCCAGCGCTTTATTCAACAGTGACCTGTGGCAACAGGTGATGATACGTTAAGGCATTTACCTGATGAATTTCAACATGATCTTTACACCTTTGAGTAAAATCAAACCCTCCTATTTCTCATTTTTAACTTGTCATTGTTCTGTTTATTCCAACAATAAAGTAATGTTACTGTGACATTTCTAAAAAGAGGATTCAGACAACTCAAAGTACCGTTACTAAAATAGGGTTTCCAAAGTCAGCGCTGGACTAAGCAAGGCTGGTCTGTTTCCGAGTTGAATTGACAAATAATCCCTATTGGTTTCCATGGGCCACATATATCGTGCTTGGTTCATTTTTTATTAGTGGGAGTGTAAGTGTAACAAAACTGATAGAATCAAAATGAAACCGTAACTAATGAAGATGATTCGTCTGAGTAACGGAACCAGCCGATAACGTAATTTAAAGTTAAGAAAATGAGTCAGAATGACACCCCCGAAAGATGATGTTTTCCGTGAAAACCAAGAACACTCATGCACCACACTGACTTTAGACAGCTCGAGAGAGAGGAGGACCAGAATTTAACGAGAAACGAATACGAACGAGGCATTTTTATGGTGACGACCACCAAGGCGTAAGTCGTTTGATACACCTCAAGTTAATATCGAACGGACATTTGATGATATTTTGTTATGGGCTAAACAGCACTTAGCGCATAGGCTTATATGACCGGCACTCAGCAATCAGATTCTGACCCCTTTGACCGTCAAAATGGTATGATTGTTTTTTGACAACCCTTGGCCTCTCCTTTGCTGGTGAAGAGAGAAAAAAAACCCTAATACACTTTCGTTGTTGTTGGATTGACTCAATCTGGTACTTACCAAATAGAAGAATAGCCTCTAAAAGAGCGATGAGGTTGGCGCTCAAGGCCATTGTGACAACTCTGAAGAAAGACCCGAAGATAATGTGAGGTGTGAGGCTGTAGTTCATGTTATAACACAAACTTTTTAAACCCTGCATTACTAATTAAATAGTAATTAAAAATGTTTTAATTTGTTATATAAACCACGAGAATGCTGGGGCAAAAATCGTTTCATTTATCACTTTAAAAAGAGGTCCAGGACTTTTCTTGTCAAAATGGAGAGACAAAATGTTGACTGGCATGTTGTTTCTTGTCACGAAAAAACACTTTTTTCCGATGAAAAATATATTCAGAAATTTAATAATAAAAAAAACGTGCTTGGTGATTTGCTAGGTCGTTAAATATCCTTTGTTTGATTTAAGAACAAACAATATTCACAGCTTAAATGATAATGAATCGTCAGCCTTTTCACGCGTTGCTTATTTGTAAGTTATATTGTAGGATTAAAAAACAAATGGAAATATTTGCCACAGTGTCAAACTTAAATTTCATTAGGAGGGTCTGTAATTGCACTTTCCTTTGTGATAAACCGCCGACTACACTGCACAATTTGCTTTAACTTTGACTCATTAGCAAACCACGCTAATTTTAAAACCCCAAAAGAATGTATCTGTCAACATTCTCTTGAGTATTGGCGTTAAAAAAAAGTACCAATCAGGTATCCTTATGCCCAGAGTTAGTAATATAGCAAGCTTCTTCAAAACTCTGCACGTGAGTTCTCCTTTATAGATATGTTTCAAAATAAATCTTATTTGATCTGGTAATTTAATTTTTTTTTATTGCGGTTTTTCTCCGTGGGGTCCCGCTCAAAACATCCCTATAACACGTGGAACACCATGGTAATTAGAGGTGATAAGCAAACTTCTTTACTCTCTGGATGGATAAGGTTGAACAAATTTCAACGCTACAGGAAGGGGTCACTTTTGTGTGATAAATTTTTTTCAGGTGTTTTTTTTTGCTAGAAAAAGGAAGGGCCAGTATGTGCCCCCTTAAAGACCCCCCATAGAAAACAAATTAAATGGGTCATAGACCCTATTGAAATTTGCTCTGTATTTGACATGGGTGAGTAAGTAAGGAAATTGGTGATTTGGGCAAATTGGATATGGAAATATTCGAGGAAAAGCCTTTCAAAATGTTTACCAAGTACCCTGGTCATATGCGGGAAAAGCGAGATTAGTCTAAAAATCTGTGATTGCTTTCTTCAGATGCCTAAATTTAAATATTCAAAGAAAAAAAGTGGCCTTGATCGAATTAAAACTCCACTGAAATTACTTGGTTATTGTACCGGATACAGAGTATAATTACGAAGTTCAATATTTAATTTTAGTATCCACTAAAACAGTAGATAACGTTGAAGGCGCGCTTTGATTGGCTACCCAATCACCGATAATCCTTCACTATTCACCTCCGAGAAAAGCGCGCGGTATTTGCGCCTGAGAATATTGTAATCGTTGCAGGAGTAAATGAGTCGAAATAATATTTTTTGCTTTCTTACTTCACTGATTTACTATCTATCAAAACAGCTGTTCACCTCAGTGTCGGTGATTAGCGGTGGATAGAGAGCACGCCGCCTCGTGGCCGGTCGTTAATTATCCACCACTGGGCACTTGTACCTCCACTTCGTTAAATATTTGTTAGTAATTATTTCTTAGAATTCAAAGAAAAAGAAGAAAGAATCCGAATTTATAATGCGTATTTAAAGATAATATCTCGTAAAAGTTCTGTAAAAACAGAGGGAATAGAGTAAAACTTCAATTGAGTAGCACAGTTTAGCCGTGAATTCACAGTTTGTGAATTAACGACAAAAGTGAGTTTGCCTTTGGGTTTCATTTAGGGGTTCTAGAGGATCTTTTCAGGTATCTTAACCTGGGATGGGCTTGAAAACTTGACTGTTTATGTACGGCATTTATAACGTAAACTTTAGAACATGCCGACCGCCTTATCGAAGGCTAACTCTTGTGTAGAGGAGGGAGGGGGGGGGGGTAGAGGAAGGGAGGTGGAGGGGGGAGAAGTCATCAGTAACATGTTAATTTCGTTGCCTGTTTAAAAAGTTGAATGATGACGAATGATGACGAATGATGGGCACTCTCATGAGAAGTTTTGTTCGTTCCACTCTAGTTTGTGGATATTTTTTTTGCTGTGAGAAATTGAGTTCCGGATGATAATGGTATGATAATGGCATGGAAAGAAAAATAATGCAATCAATATTTTTTCATTGCTTTTTTATTAACCCATTAAGCGCGCTAAACTTTTTCCCCAATATCCTTACAATTTATAAACCAGAGAGTAGCTAGACTACTGTTTTGTGTTATGATATTTCCCTTTTGTTTCCGCGTACATTCCAGTTCTGTGGTTAATCCACTTTTGAGTTGCATAACTCTGGCCCTTGATCTGTGAAAGATAATATATATGCGACTTGAGTTTCGCATTTTGAAAAGTTGTAAACTGCCTACATTGTACTTGAAGTCTTGAACAAACGTGAATAGCTACTTTTGGTCATGCAGGGTAATTTCGTTTATAAACTGAGTTGACGACGTAAATTGTCTACCGTAAGGAGTTTTTAAGCTGACGTTTCGAGCGTTAGCCCTTCGTCAGAAATTGATGACGAAGGGCTAACGCTCCCTCACCGACGCGGCACCACAGTCTCTTTAGAAACTTTCCCCCTTTATTATAATTTTGCTCTTCATTTGGTTAACTGGCTGATGGCTTGTATTACCCACTAACTCAATTTCTCTAACTTCTAAGGTGTCGTTTTCTTTTATTTTGGTTTTAGCTTCAAATGAAAATGGATTGCGAGACTTGAATTCGGCTAAGGGTCCGAAATGTCGAGGTTTTCTACTCGATACCCAAGAGGTGAACTCAGCAGAATATCGTTCGTGTTCCGCGAACAAAGTTTACAAAGCTCAACTTGACTATCATGGGGTGATCATACGCAGGTAATAAACCACACAAGTTAAATCCGCCAGCTGCATAGCTGAGGTGGAAAAGTTTTAGCAATTTGAAAACAAACTCCGAACTTACCTGAACCACTATTCATACTTATAGACAAACATGTCACCATTAATTTCCTTGCCGGACCCGTTGCCACTTTTGCTGACAGAGCATGTTGAGGATTTCCCGTACCTATCGTACTTGTTCTCCCCATCGTTATCCGCCCAGCAGATCTTGTCGTCAACTCCGAATAGCTCGTGGCCTAAAGATTCAGCCTTCTCCTTGCAGTACAAGAAGATATTGTCATTACCTTGTATTTTATCGACACCGTCGTCCAAAGAGTCTGGTAAAGCCAATTTCGATGCCTTGTTGACGTAGCATCCTTTTTGTGCCCAGTCTCCTTTGTGAAAAATAGTAAGGAGAATTAGAAATCAGACCTCTCTAAACGCCCTTTGTGTACCTCCATGATTTCAAGAAAAATATGCGTCATATTCAGTCTCTTTCCAAATTTCTAACGGTCTATGTCTAACAGTTACACTGGTGGTTATCATTCTCGCTTTTCATGTAATTCCGTGGTCAGAACGTTCGTCCCACCTCAAGGCTCTCTTATTTTCTATGTGGGTACTTTACAGCGGGGGAATTATCAGTTATGACTTCATATTTCCCAGAGTTCAAACAATAATTGCGTTCTCTCACCCTTTTCTTTTTTTTTTTTTTGGCAATTCTAGTGGTTACACGACTGGCTTTTAGCTTTAAGTTTACAACTGGTAAATTGTTAAGTCACGCCTATTTTGTATTTTGTATCTCATTCTCTAATTTAGATTTTATTGTTGTTATCATTATTACTGTTAGCACTATTTAATTTTGCATCGATAATTATTGATGATTATGGTATCGATAATTATTCCTCGTTTTGATTTTATCATCATACTCGTTACGAAAATGATGAACATGCACTTATGGAGATCACGTTTTACTTACTGCAATTACATGATCAACGTGAACAAACGATATAAAGGCTCCAGTAAATAGATAAAATACTTAATCAATCATACAGATTTCCCAATACGTATAAGCAATAGATTAGAAATAAGACTTCGGTCATTATCTGTTTTAAACGCAATGAAGCATTTTTCCTATAATTATGATCATTTTTATTGTTTTATTGCTCTCATTAGTACATCATTACCCAGTTTCCTTTTCACCAGAAAACAGAATGGAGTAAAAAAAAAAAGTTTTCTTACCATCTGCGTCTTTCTCGTAGACAAACATTGTTTCCGACTCTGACAGACCACTACCTAATCCATTCTTTGTCTTGCACTGCCCTGAGGTTCCATATTTGCTGAATGTGCTTTCTGCATTTTCACCGGTCCAGCATCTCCTGTCGTCCATACCAAACAAGGCCACATCTTCACTGTTAGCCGCTGACGTGCACGCGGCATAGCGAGCGCTTATTGAATTCTTGCTTCCCACTCTCTCAAGAACCACGTCGAGAGCGCGATCGCTATTCTTAAAGCAACCCACTGGCTTCCATTCAGCTTTTGAGAAAACGAAGAAAAACTATTGTGAGTACTCCTCCAGTGAGCGGGAAACTTGCCCATTGCAGGAGACCCTTCCCACACCCTCTCCAGTCATTTGTCCAACTACTTCCCATCAGTGTAATCGTTTAGAGGCTTGGAAAATTCATCTTGGATCAAATTATACAGCTTTAAAAAAAATCATAAATCTCGTAAAAGAAAGTTGCAGTTGTTCAACATTTTTAATGATGCATAAGAATAACTGTATGCAGTTTAAACGTCGTGATTCACATAGGAAGCGATTAATGCTTTATTACGAAATACGGTGGCCAATCGAAAGCTTGACCTCGGAGTCCACGATCGGGAGTCCAGCGTGACATACATAGTTTCCATCTGTAGTACACATTTTACGGCATGTAAAGAAAGGAGAATGCAAACGTCCTTTACTTACGTCCACACACTTGAGGGTTACACTCTTTCGTCTCTGCCTCGTCTCCTTCACAATCCTTACCATCAGCTGCAGGCTTAGGATTGTTACACTTTCTTTCTCTGATCAGTTCTCCTCCTCCACATGTAACTGAACACTTACTCCAATCGCTCCAGTCTCCCCATCCGCCGTCCACTGGGAGTAAAAATGATGCGCTTAATGACATGTTCGTAATCAAAAGAAGAATCATAAACTATGCATAACAGGAGACGATCAAGCTGAGGGTCTCAATATGTTTTATGAGACCTCTTCAAAGATAATCCGACTTGAGTAATTTCTAAATTCTTGCATCTAGTCGTCTGGGAATAATCTTGTGCGCCTAGTGAGTGGCTTAAAAATCTCGAGGTAGAGGAGTGGAAACCACTCAGTGTTTCCACACGAGCAGAGGTTGAATCACGGTATTGATAAATAAAACATCCTCCAGGGATTATGGGAAAACGATAGTAATACAGAAATTGAAATCGGTGAGCAAGCTCAACTGAACTTGATTTTGTCGTGGTTATTATTATCGGTAAACTTACCGGGACATTTCTTTATTGGTGGTGTGCACGACTTTGTCTCGCTATCCTTTCCAAGACCTGAACAGTCCTTCCCACCATCCTTTGGTTCTGGGTTATTACACAAGCGATCACGTGTATGTTTGCCCTTTTGCTTGCCACAAGTAATAGAGCAGTCGCCCCAGGAACCCCAAGGTCCATAACCTCCATCAACTAAAAATATTGATTTGACTCAGATCAAAAATTTGGTCGTAAAAACTAGGATTCTTTCACCTCAAAATTACTGGCAGTGGTTTATCTGACTATTGATCTTATGAACTTAGCATACGGATAAAAATTAGTAAAGAAGGTCAGAAGCAGAAGAAAATGTCGTAAATGAAGAGGAGTTAGTGGGGCTCAACGGCAAGAAGTTTAAGCCAAATTAATTAATGGCGAGAGATGTTAAAAAATCTCAACATGAAATGATCTGATCAATGTCAGTGTGAGCAGCTGCGCACCAACCCCTCCCCTAATGTGAAAGTACGCTGGGTAAGGGGTAGCTGCGCGGTTGCTGAGATACTGACATTGATCCAAATTATACACAGAATATGTGAACCTGGACATCCAGCTGTATTACAAACTTCTGTCTGACGGATGGGCCCCAGTTCCGAACAATCTTTTCCACCATGTTGCGGTTTGGGATTGGTGCACTGCCGATCACGTTGGCGTGTTCCTCCTCCACAGCTAACAGAACATTTGCTCCACCCGTTCCAGTTAGTGTAACCTCCGTCAACTACGTAAACGTGACAATAATGGATTCGTACATAATAAAGACCGTTTTACGTTTCGGTATGCAAAGGTAACAGTTAAGGAACTAGAGTTGAAGTTGGGGATTGTTATGTTATTCAATGTCGTCCAAACAGTTACACGTAAAACATAAAAACTTTTTACTGTGCATCCCGAACCGATATTGGCAACTTTAGAGATTACTTTTAATTGGATGTGACCAGCTTTCTTAAAGAGAGTAATAAACCTTATAGAGAAGAATTTGCCTCGCTCCCAACATTGCGCTTTGTTGCTCAGTTGATAGAAAAGTCCAACTTATGGAATAAGGTTGGTACGAATTCGAATCCCGTCAAAGCTCAAATTTTTCAGGCTTCCTTTTCCTAAATCTTTTGAATGCAGATCACTTGCGAGGATCATATCTTCCGTTGCGTTTCTTTCCGCAGGTCGAAATGGTACTTTCTTTCTTTTGATTCAGACCTAAGCGTTGTAGTTGGCACCTGATACCTTTTTTATTTTCCTCTGTGCACTGGGAAAATAAAGCTTTCTGTATGGTACACTTCAGTCTTTAAATAAACATATACTCACTGGGGCAATTTTGATTGCTGCATTCTCTGCTTGATTTACTCGGTCCAAGTCCCGAGCAATCCTTTCCTCCGGCACTTGGAGGTGGATTTGTGCACGTTCGCTCTCGATATTGCTTTCCACCTCCACACGTTTTAGTGCATTTGCCATATGGTCCCCAAGCAGAGTACCCACCATTCCCTACAAATAAATGAGGTTTTATGAGTTTCTTTATCATGACATCAACAATTGAAAGTTATTTCTTTACTTCTTGATACACAGCGGGTAAAAAACAAATGTATCACTGGCCCCCAGGTGATATAGATGTGAAAGGTACGACCCTGACCTTTGGATTTGATTCCTAACGGAATCAATCAATGAACTAATACAGTTTTGGAGGTTTTCAATAAATGTGATGGTAAATCCTTAGGCTAATAGATTGAAAATTCACTTTACACAAATAATCCTACCTACATATAGTTTGACGAACCGTGCACCGTTAAACCTTCTTTGGGAGAGTATAGAATGTTTCGCTATTATAGCTTTAGAAACACTAGAATTTTCAATTTGAACTGCAATTTCCATGGGGTTTGATTTTTTTCAATTGCCTTTAAAATTCAAAATAAATGAACATGTAGCGCGCTCACTCGGGCATTCTTCGTTATTGCACTGCTCTGTTTCCAATGAGGGTCCGACGCAGTTCTTTCCATCATGCTGTGGAACAGGGTTGTCACATTTCCTGCTGCGCGCTCTTCTTCCTCCACCACATGAAGCAGAACAAGCACTCCATTCGAGCCAATTGCTATAACCACCATCAACTGGAAAGAAAGAAGAAGTCAACTGTTGCCTTGTGTAGTGCTAAACGGTTCATAAGCCAAGTGACCTGCACCTTTAGGGCTTTCCAAAGCGACCAGGGATGTGGCTACTTCCTCTGGAGGAAATACCTATCTATTCCACCCCCTGGAATTTCATAAACTTTTGCTAACAGTTTGTTTGTCACTATTAATACTTCAGAATATCTAGAAGAGGACACTGAGTGCAAATTGTGTCTTGGCCAAGAAAATAACTACATAACCTTGGCCAAGAATAGAATTCGAACCGATCCAAATCTAGCATGTCATGTCCGTCACCAATATTCATTATTAACCAATATTCACTATGGTATAATTAACGTTGAAAAAAGCCTTAAATAAATTGTCTATTTAATTATGAATATTCTGAAATTCCCACAAAAATGCAAAATCAATACAAAACATTGATCATCATGGTTATCACAGTCATCATCCTTTTACCACCAGCGAAATAAACTCAAAGCTACCACGTTCCGTTACTGGATCCAAGTAATGCAGAAGGTGACATGAAATAAACCAGGTATGCTTCTCCTTCAAAACAATCGCTATTTTAATTGATATTCAAGGGGAAGAATATATATTTGCCTTATCTAAAGTTCGTTAAAGTAAGTTAACAGTTTCTCACTTGGACAGTTGCGTGTGTTACATTCTCTGGTTGAAATGTCTGGTCCCAGACTATCGCAGTCTTTGCCTCCGTTCGCAGGTGGTGGATTGGTACAAGTGCGCTTGCGTGTTTCTACTCCGCCACCACACGTCTTGGTACATTTGCCGTATTGTGACCAAGCAGAGTATCCGCCATTCACTTCAAAACGAAAATAAAAATTATTGTTAGCATAATCATGCTAGTGTCCTCTAGAAATTCCTGCTCCATTTAAGGGCGATAATCTTTGACAGAAAATTTGATTGTTTGATAGACAGCTTGGAGCTGAGCACAATTTTTCACTTTGATGTTCTCATCCTTAATAAATGTTACTTTTTTCCAATGAATCTCTCAAGATAAGAAGTGGGATTTTGACTGAAAAATTTTTATGCGTTTACCTGGGCAGCTTCCATCATTGCAATCTTCATATTGTGTGTCAGGTCCCAGGTCAGAGCAGTCCTTTCCACCAGGGCTTGGAGGGGGATTGGTGCATGATCGACGGCGACTCCGACGCCCATCTCCACACGTTTTGGAACACTGAGACCAAGAGCCCCACTCTGAAAACCCTCCATCATCTACGGTGGAAAATCAAAGATGATGAAGTGTTTGCAATTTTTTTTCTAGCAGGTGATATCTATTATCTAAAAATACATAAAAAATATTTTTCCCTGCATATATGACGTAACACAGTGTCTACAAAAGGGTCTTTATGTGGTAAATGGTCTTTATGTGGTAATGGCTTTAAATTTAAAATTTTGGCAATTTAACAGTTAACAGTCAACCCAATATTACTCAAAATTACATGTTATAGAAAGGAAAATTATAACGGTTGACTCCTCTTACGCCTAACGGCTAAATTTTTGACTGTTTTACCCCATAGCGATCCTTATGAAAGTGCTTTAAAGTAACAAACAGTTGTTAACAACAAAATCAGAAAAAGCCAACATAAAACTATTGATACACGCAAGATATTTAATCTCACTTGTCTTGCATCCGTAGAATTCAGCCCTCAGGGCGATGTAGCTGTACCATTCCTCTGGAACAATCCTCAAATAGCGCGTGCGAATAGGTTTGGGTAAATCGTGGCTTACGACTGTGTACCGGTCACTGTTTGCCAAAAATGTCTTTAAAAAAAAACAAAAACAATAAAAATAATGATAACGATGATGATGATGATTAAATACTCCATGGTAAATTGAGGGACTTTTTACTCACCAAGGTGTAACCAAATGGTTGATACTGGTTCCAGTAAGATTTATCGAGACTGTATCTCAACGTGTATTTTGTGACATACTGATTTGCATTCTGGCGACCCTGGGTAGCAATTCGTGTGACTTGGGTCTCAACTCCAAAGTCAACCTGGAACCACTGATTATGGTTCTGAACGCTTGGAATCCAGGCTCCTTGGCGGCCTCCGACGGGATGAAAGTGAAGTCTCGCATTTTCAGGACCATAATTAGCATTCAATTTCGATGAGGCTGACAATGCAGAATTTGGTATCTTGCCATTTTGCATCCCAAGTTGAATCTGGCATGGAGGAACACTGGGAATGGGAAAACCTAGGAAGCAAAAAAAAAATCGGTGGCTCAACAAGAAATTATTATTATGGTTTTACATTAGATGAGTTCATGGGATCTGCAGGAAACGGGGTTTTGATTTACCTTGCTTGTTACTTCTAATCTCAGAATGAATATCAGACTGCAAGGCTAAGTTTTCCGGCGACCTAGATAATTGACTCTTACATGGCAAACTACTGTATGCATTGTGCCCAATATCAAAATATGCTGTGATAAACATACATTTTATTATTCTTCCCTGGAATTGCTTCTTTTTGCCTTCATAATTGTGATCAATTTTTTTGTAATTTAGTAAAATAGGATTTTTTCGTGGTTTAACAACTACTGAAATCCGAATTCACCGGTAAGTTTCCCATTAAAGGTAGAAAAAGAGAAGTTCTTTCATTTTTTACGCGCAAGGGTTCTTTTCTCAACCTAAAATTCTCGTTTTGAACTGCAGGGAGAATTTTCATGTAAAAACTTTTCCCGAACAAAATTGTACAGATAATATTGAAATGAAGGAAAATAGAAAGGTTGGAGAGTTATTGTATTCTGACACGATTTTGAGTGGCTTTGTGGCAATAGGCCCATGTAGGCTATTGATTAAACCGATTTACTAACCGCTTGTGCATCCGTAAAGCTCGAAACGTAGTGCTATGTAACCTTGCCACTCTTTTGCGTGGATTCTAATATATTGTGCTATTATAGGCGGATTGAGAATGTTCCCAACTATTGTATTCTGGTCCGTATTGCCTGGAAGAACCTATAAAACACGAAAGGTGATGGTGAGTTTATTGTTTCTGTCACTTAAGGACTAAAACGTAACAAGGGTGTTTCATGTTTGTCAGAAAAAGGAACACTTCCAAGAGATGAGACTGACGTAGATTGCATCGTTTAAAGATAAGTGACATGTGGAGAGAACCACACTGCACGTAATTAAACAAAGATATCGATGAGGGCTTCCTGATATTTTTGTCTTGCTCTTATCGGAATCAAGAACGCACGGGTTCAAATTGTTCCCCTCGGAGCCAAAACACGGCTGAGCTGCGCGGACACAATTGTCAGTTGACTCACACCATATAAAAAGATCATTTTAGGGGCACAGGCCTCCTATCTGCAGAATTAATACGATCATATATAGTGGCTAGAGGAATGAAACTTAGTTTTGTTACTCAAGGAGGCTTGATAAAAAACGAAACGTCACGTCCACCCTATACCTGGTTGTCATTGTAAGGCAAGAATGGTCCACCTTCAACACTGTAGGTAAGAGAGAAGCTTTTAACCCAGTGACCCGCCTCTTGCCTCCCTCTGGTGGCTATACGCGTTATTTTTGCAATTTTTCCCAAATTAACTTGTATCCATTGACCAAAGTCCTGCGCATTAGGAATCCACGCTCCAGCAAAACTCCCTGACTTCACTGTATTCAGTCTGGCGCGCTCTGGACCATAATACTGATTTAGGCTGGTAGTAGCAGTGATAGCGCTGTTGGGTATTTTCCCGTTGCTCATTCCAAGTTCTGCTTGGCATTCCAGTTTTGGGGGCTCAAATCCTGATAATTTAAGACCAAAGATAGTTAAAGCCAGGAAACTGCGAAGCACCAATTGAAACGAAGGGAGGAAAGGGTGATTCTTATTATGAGCGAATTACACACTCTTCACTATCACCCCTTCAGAAGAGCCGTATCCGTCGATCTTCGTTTTACAAAGCAAAAGCAGCATGTTTCGCTACTTTTTTTTAACAATTATTTACGGTGCTGGAGGAAAATATTGTTGGATATTTACCAAGCTGCAAAGTGGTGTGGTAAATGTCCACCACTTTCACCGACAATGAGGTGAATAATTGTTTAAATGTAATTAATTCTATCAATGTACCAAAAAGTGGTTGGGACTTTAAATAGCTACTCGCGATTTTGCCTGTTCTACTGCTCGCAGGTGAATAGTATTTGCAAATCACTTACGAACGAGCTAATTAGCGCACACAAAAAGTACTATTCATTTGTATGGTATATAATAAATATTTTTATCCTACAAATTATTTACAGAACATCATAATCTTACTAGAAAACTTGCCAGTTTATACCACATAAATAGCCTCATATTACGTCGGTAATCACGCGGGAATATTTATTGCTTTCCCTTACCATCTTTGCAACCATAAAACTCTGCTCTCATAGATATGTGACCATACCATTCCACTGGATGAATTCGTATATATCGAGTGATGATGGGATTTTTTAGATCATGATATGCTGGGGTATATCGATCAACACTACCAGCAAAGACCTAAAAGAGAAAGAAGTCAATTACCGTACTTGACCCTCCACGTTTTCTATTAAATCGTTCCGCAGAGTAAACAAATCTTCTACGTTTCAATACTTCATCTGGATATTACATGTACAAGGCACTAAAAAATACTGATAGTATTTACGAAAGAGAAGAAAAGTATTCTGGATTTGAACCAAACCCGGCCTTAATTTTGTGTTTTACCCCTTCACAGGATAAAATAAGAAGCATTTAATCCAAGGGCATTTATGTCTGTTCAAAAGCTGAGGATTGCCAGAACGCAAGAAGATTATATATCCTTTTCAAATGAAAGGAAAGCTTAAGGTGATTCCTCAGCATTGAACTACGCATACTGAACTGTGCCTAAAAACCACGTAATCAGGCGAAAAAGCGAGCGCATTCCGAGAACAGGGTATTGTTTTTCAGTAATAGACCCAGTAAAGAGGTGCGATTGTCTTTAGCTCTTGAACAAGCACAGTGACCTACATTTTTACTGTCATGATTTTTTTAAACAGACATTGGCAAGGAATATTTATGGAAAGTTTAAGATATATTGTTCTATAACTTTTTTGTTCTAAGGAATCACCTTAAGCCTCTCATCTGAACAAAAATTCTCATATTTTTATTAATTCTCCTCCTCTACACCTTTAGCTCATCCTAACCACAAATCTGATGCCATACCCATGCTATGCACATTTTTACTCCAGATCCCTGAGTAAGTGCTTTGACTTCACAAACAGACTTTTACAATTCCACTATTACACCATTTTACCAAATAAGGGAAACAGAACGCACAAAATATGCTACGGCACTATACCGTAAAACAAAGAAAAAATACGAAAGGAAAGCAGTGCAACAAATTGTCACCTTAAGGAAAAGAACTTTGCGCTCGATTTTGGTGCTGCTACATATTTATCTTTCATGGAAAGTATTGTTAAAGTATATCATGAAAAAATTATTAATAAGTATAGAAAGCGACGCTAGGTACCTCTGCACCGTCTTCTAAATAAGCTTTGAAGAACACTGCATCGTAGCCATATGAAAGTTTAAACCTCTTCACCCACTGCTCCGCGTCTGATCTCCCTTGAATGGCAACTCGGGTGATCTTCGTCCAGTCTCCAAAATTTGCTTGCAAGAACTGGAACCTATCATTTTTTTGTGCTATCCAGGCTCCATGTCGGCCTGACCTGTAAAGGAAATGTAATCTGCCGTTGATGGCGGTCCCTGTTGAAGCACTTAAAGCAGAGTCTGGAATTCTTTCATTCTGCATTCCAAGAGCTTCCAAGCACACCAAGGCCTTCGGTTTTTCGAATCCTATAGATATAACAAGGGAGAAAATGAAAGGAAACGTTAGCATTCTACAGCGGGGAGAATGTACCAAGAATATAAATGACTTTACAACGATTCTTACTGAGAAAATTATGGAGGGGTTAAGTAAAATTCAGCAAAGTTTTCATTAACATACTCGTCGATTCTTTTTTTTCGTAGTATGTTACGTTAAAAACTTTCTAATTGGGGTGTTGACTCTTTCCTTCTTTTCCACTGTAGACCATTGACATTATCTACCGACTACCCGTTCTCATTGAAACCTTGTAGGTAACTCCAGAATATATGATACAAAATTTTTATACGACACTCTGAATTTGTTTTTGAATTGAAACCCATACTGAAGTACCTAAAAATTTTCGTATGGAGATTACCTTCGGTACACCCATAAAATTCGGCTCGCAAGGCTGGATGTCCTTTAGATGTTACCACACGAATCTTAATGAACCGGGCGATTATTGGTGGATCGATGACGCTACCAGCGGGTTCATTTTTATCCTGAGTGTTCCCTGTAAATACCTGATAGGAAGATTTTTCGAGGGTTGGTTAAAGTTCTCAGTAGGTGTATGAATGAGTGAGAGATGAATAAATGAACGAATGAATGAGTGAGAGTATGAAAGAATAAGTTTGTATACATGCATGAGTGTAAGAATGAATTTAATGATGAAATATTAATGTATGGTTAGATTAATAAATGAACGAGTCAATAAAAGAATGAGTGAATGAATGTTGAGGCTATTCCACAACAGGTCGTTAAGACCATTACGCAGTTCTACACTCTTCTATAGATACGTAAGACCATGATGCCTCAGTAGCTTGTTCTTTTCATTTTCATTTTTTTTCAATCGCACGTGGTGAAGCTTATTTGCTCTGATATTGTGATTTGTCTCTTGTTTCCCTCCTTTCATCATATGGTAAGTTTAGATAGTTTCCGTTTCGAATTTCGCTTCGCTAAGTAATCTTTGTTGTGTCGCATGTTATTACGGCTCAAAGATTTTGTAATCCAAAATTAAAGGCTGTTGTGCTGACGATTTGTAACGTTCTCCGCCCCATCAATAAAGAAGTTGCGTTTGGAAGGCTGTTCGTGTTATAAGGCCACGCCCTGAACCGCCTTATATATCCGGCCCGGGCAATGAATGAATGAATGAAGGAATGTGTTACTATTCTTGAGTCAGAAAAAGTTTTTTCGATAGAGAACTGGAAAAAAAGCTGCCAAAAAAAACCGCAAGTATGGTTTTAGCCTGTGAATAAGTTCATGCATAAAAAATGAAAGAATTTATGAATGAAAAGTAAATTAAAGAATTAATCAATATTAATGTTCAAAAGACAGAAGGAGTTTCCAAACTCATACTTGTCCATCACCGGCACCGTATGTCGTGAAAGAGACGCCATCAAGACTGTAGGCCAAGATGTAGCTGCTGACCATCCAATTAGCGTCGGAACGCCCTTGAGTTGCCACACCAGTAACCTTGACAAACTTACCAAAGTCGTACTGTATAAACTGGTGAACGTTATTATACTGAGCAGCCCAGCCGCCGTAATAGCTTCCCTCTTTTACGGCGCGAAGCCTGCCACGTTCCGGTCCAAAATACTGGTTGTACATTGAAGAGGCCACTATGGCGCTGCTTGGAATTTTTCCACTTTCGATACCCAGGGGATCTTTGCATTTAGGTTTTGGAGGCGTAAAACCTTTTGAAAAAAAGTTAGAATTGAAATTATTTCTATAATTCTTATTTTATTTTTTACTCAGCTGCAGAAATCTTCAAAAGAGTGCATGTTCAGAGTCTCTCTTTGTTTTTCTGTTTTTTTTGTTTTTGTTTTTTTTTTATTAAAAAACCTCCATCAATGTTATTTGGTGAGTTAAATAAGGCCTCACCTCACAAACTAATATAAGAGGCAAACGGGAATTGTAGTAATTATAGTAATTGTCTGTCGGAAACATAGCTCCCATTACCCGAAACGGTTTAGGTGACCTTGAGCAAATATGTCACTAGAAGTCCATCACTGATTTAAAAGAAGCCCATACGTTCTTTAAACGCCTTGTGAGGAACATTAATTTTTATTAGTATTTTACCTTCCCTGCAGCCATAAAACTCTGCTCTAAGCGATATATAGCCTTGCCATGTCTTTGGTTTGATTCGAAGGTAACGAGTGATTATTGGATTCTTTAAAGTATGCTTCACCACCGAGTACTTATCACTGTTTCCATCAAAAACCTTAAACAAAATGACCAAAAATGTAAGGTTCAATACTTTAGAATGTTACTTAACCAAGAGAAAAATGTTCAGCATAAATAGCTTCGCATGGAGGTGAACCTTACGATATTTAGCGTTTCTGTTTACCAGACTGATTCAGTACTAAACTATGTGTGGGATGGATACTTCTGTCTTGTCCAAATATTGACGCAAGTAAAATTGATACCTTACGGAGATGGGATGGAATTTACCTCATGCTTTACGTGCGCCCCGCGTATTAAAAAAATTATTTTCTTTCGATGTAAATAAGGTACCTTCACTTTATTGTCTTCTTGATAATCCCTAAAGAACACACCATCGTCACTGCTGGCAAGGATGTAGCTTTTAACCCACCAGGCTCCATCTTGTCTGCCTTGAGTGGCTACTTGAGTTACTTGGGTCCAATCGCCAAAACTGACCTCAAAGTACTGGAATTCGTTATTTGTTGAAGTGGCCCATGCTCCGTACTGTCCTGACTTCGCTTGGAAATGCAATCTTCCATTCCTTGGACCCATAGAGTTTACATTGTAAGACGTGGACGCCCTCAAAGCAGAATCTGGTATCTGGTTATTTTGCATACCAAGAGGTGCTACGCAGGTTGGTGGTTTTGGTGGAGTGAAACCTTTAATCAAGAAGGAAGGAAAAGTAAACTCTAAGAACCGAAAATGTAGGGCAATAATCAAAAGTCACCTAAGAGAATATTTTATTATCACTATAAACATTCCCGGAGATATGTTTTTTACAGTTAAAGGTCAGCTTCTGTAATCGTAACCAGAGATAGATACTTTAAATATTGTCGCTATTTTTGATAGAAAGATGAGATCATATATATAAAACCCTTCCATTTATCCACCTTCTCGTTGCCAAATATGTATTGATCCGTTCATTCATTCATTCATTCATATTTCCACCCATTATTCGTTTATTTTTACAGTAACACAGTCTGTCAGTCGCATGATTAGTCACTTTGTCAGTCAGTCACTTCGTCAGTCAGTCAGTCACTTCGTCAGTCAGTCAGTCAGTCACTTAATCAACCCGCCAGTAAACCAGTCACCAAAAAATATATTTTCTGGTTCATTTATCCATTTACTTTATCATATTTAGCACACATACTCGTATCCATATTTGATATCAAAATCACCTTCTCTGCATCCATATAGTTCCACTCGTAAAGAAATGAATCCCTGCCAAGTTTTGGGGTGAATCTTGATGAAGCGTGCAATTATTGGTGGATTAATCATGCTGCCTGCTGGCGTATTTCTGTCTCGACTTCCAAGAAATACCTTGAATGTATTGAATTACATCAGTCGTATAGAGTGAGACCAGATCAAATCATATGGCTAACAATGGTGGCTCTAAATACAGGAGCATGCTCACATACCGGCTTAAAAACGTGTTTTAAAGATTAAAATCGTTCCTCGCCAACGTAACATACTTTTTGAAGGGTAACCCATTTTTTTCTTCACCCAGTGTGGCAATATTTTCACAGTTTCGCTGCCGTTTCGCATTTGACTCGTAAATATCTATAGGCCCACTTAAAAAAATTACCCTTAACTTTTTTTGATGAATTTAGCTGGCTCAGAACTTCTTCCACAAGTCATATTTCTTATTTACTTCTAATAGTTGCTACGTCGAAAAATTTACGTGCGGGGATAGAGTTAGGAAGATGGAATTCACTATAATAGTACCTGGCCATTGTTGTACGACTCAAAGCTTCCTCCATCAAGCTTAGAGGACATGGTAAAACTAGTTGTCCACCAATCCGCGTTGTCGCGACCCTGGATAGCAATCCTGGTCACTTTTGTATTCTCACCAAGGTCAAATTGTATCCATTCCCCTGTGTTGGATGCCTTTGGAGACCATCCCCCGATAAAGCTTCCTGCTGTAACCTTACGCAGCCTTGCTCTTTCCGGTCCATAGTATGCATTGTATTGGGAGGAGGCCACAATAGCAGCGTTTGAAATCTGACCGTTTTCTAATCCAAGCGCTGACACGCAGACAATCTCAGGATCTTTAAAACCTGACCGAGCAAATTTGGCTTACATTATAAAAGTATACAGGATACAGTGACTTTATTGATCAGCGATTGCACTATGCCAAAGAGGGTAAGGTAATGATCAAACCCTTGTCAAAGCCTTTACTTTGTACCAAAGAGCTTGACACCATAATTTCAAAATGACGTAAATAAAATGAATCAAAAAGAAGCGGAAAAAACTTCTGCTTTGCTTTGTATTTCTCATAATGAAACTTTCACTTTCAAAAAACCCTATTGACTGCTAACTTAAGGTAGGGCACGGTTTGGTCTTGTATGGTGTATTGCAGTATTTGAGACACTACATAATATTTGAATAAAGGGGTAAGTTTCTAAAGAAACCGTGGTGCTGCGTCGGTGGGAGAGTATAGCAGGTAATTTAGTGTTAACAACTAAGTTGAAAAAGTAAATTGACCACCTTAAAGGGTAAAAAGAGCTGACGTTTCGAGCGTTAGCTTTTTTACCCTTTACGGTGGCTAATTTACGTTTTCAACTCAGTTGTTAACACTAAATTACCTGCTAGATAATACTTAGATTGTCGGGTTGATACGCAGTGGTGTATTCATCGATCTCTATATCAGCTAACGGGAGTGACGGAAACAAACGGATTTGAATACACAGACGGAAATGGAAAAGAATAATTAAAGGCTGCCGGAACTAGAGTCAGCTCTTACTAATGGGCCCGGAGACTAAAATTAAGATCACCAACTATTGTATTTGACGTGATTGTTTTAACAAACAAAGTATAGCAACTGTTTAGTAGACTTGAGAATGGCTAAAGATATACTCGATGTCAGCCGTTATGTCTTGTACCCAACTGGTTAAAATTCATCTGTTAACTCATCAAATTGTATGACAAACGTTGTTTGTTTAGTCGTTACCTTCTCTACAGCCATAGAATTCTGCTCGCAGGGAAATGTACCCTTGCCATGTGATTGGGTTTATGCGAACGCACTTTGAAATGTGGGGGATCTTAAGGTCGTGGCTAACGACCGTGAAACGATCAGTGTTCCCATCAAAAACCTGGAAATTGAATATAGATGTCGAAATTCATTCACCTATTCGATTAATTTTGAAAGCACAACGTAACATGACGAAGCGCATTTTTCCATTTGACATATAAGTAACTTCACACTGAACCCGATAAGTTACGCGGTTCCTTGACTGTATATACAAGTTTGTTTCACAGTTGACCAGTTGACATTGTCCTCAGGAACAGATACACACTAAGTTAACGTACCTTTGATTTATCCTTTGGAAACTTTCAGTCACTGTGTAATCATCTTTCAAAAATTTGGTGTGGGGTTTTTCTGTGGGGTCAGGTCAAAACTGTGCTTTCTATTTATAATATCGTTTCTGGCCCTTCTTATGGGCGTATCCTTTTACAGGTGGCCACCATTTAAGTTTTTTTTTTTTCCGTAAGCTTCACACCAGGCGTCATTTTTTAATGTGTTACATTTCACCGATTTTCACGGCTTGTGGACCGTCCATAATTTTTTTCACGCTTTGCAAGTATAGGTGATAATTCCGTCACAACACTCAAAGATCAATGAGAGTAGTTTCTTCTGACAGGTGTTTCTCTGCAAATTTCTTGATATCCTCGATGCTAAAACTTAAATGGGATTCTTATTTATAACTTTGTCTAGGTCTCACCTTTTTGGCGTCAGCCTCTTTGTAGTCTTCAAAGAAAACACAATCATTACTGAAGGATAAACTGTACGTCTTCACCCACCAGGAGCCATCTTGTCTCCCTTGAGTTGCCACACCTGTAACCTTTGCGTAGTTACCAAAATCAACTTGAAAATATTGAAATGGATCATTCTTTTTCACGGCCCAGGCACCATACTGGCCACTCTTTGCCTGGAAATGTAACCGTCCGTTTCTCGCACCCATGGAGTTAACATTGTACGATGTGGAGGCACGCAGAGCTGAATCCGGAATTTGGTAGTTCTGCAATCCTAAAATTTTCTTACACTCTTCAGTAGGGCCTTGTTCAAAACCTGTCAGGCGAGTAGAAAATATAGTGAACAGGAGGAGAAATTAGTTATTAATCGCATTTTACTCTGCTATGTGCTTCACGGTAAAGGGGATTGTTTTCAAATCGAGGGACAATTTCTCTTCTCAGTAATGAAATGTATTGCATTTGCGATGTTTAGACAGGCTGGCCCAGTTCAGCTCAAAGAGGGTTTAAATGTGGGCACGTTCCCCACTCTACGTGCGAGAAGTGCATGGGTTCGTAAACGTCCCCTGCTAACCAGTACAGTGAGGGTGCAGAAGACGGTACCAGAGAAGACTAGAATGTCCAACCAATTGCGGATGTCCTAGCAAAGAGACTTAAGCCCTTGACCTCTTGTACGGTAGTCCGGCGCTTTATAACGTGAACTAACCAAGCAGGCATGATCGTGGTTAAAAAGCTCTCCGCGGAAAGACACCTAATCTATATGTCCTGTTGGCTTACCACTGAGTTTTAAGTTGCTCTGCTGTCATAGCATCCGGCCTGAATCTGTAGTTTCCTTAGGCTAAAATATTCATTTTTTTTTCCTAAGTACACAAGATCACTGAATAATAAGAAAAGGGATCAAATCGAAAACAGAATGGTACTTCTGTCGAATTCGTTACGAATTGATGACTCTGCCATATGCCTAGTGTGAATGATATCGTGATGACTAGCATACCTTCCCTGCAGCCAAATAATTCCACTCTCATGCAGATGCGTCCATTCCAGGTCATAGGATGGATTCGCACGTACCGTGCTATTATTGGCTCATCAAGAATTCGACCTTCCGCTGTATTCCTGTCGCTATTTCCAATGATCACCTTTAAATACGACACCTTCATATAAGATTCCTCCATTTTGATTAAACGAAAAACTATCATAAATTTCACCAGCGCAGATTATTGAAGTTTTTTTTTTGTCATGGTCTTTTTTCTATTCATTTGTAAGTATTTTTTTTGTTTGTCATGTTTTTTTGTTTTGTTTTGTTTGGTTGTTTATATCGCAGGCATCAGAAAACGTTTTAGTATGAGAACTTGTGAAGTCGAAGATGCAGCCGGGGGTTGCAGCAAAGGAAGTCAGGATTGGTGCGACTCCACCGTATTTTTCAAGAGGAATATGAGTTGAAATAAAATCAAATGCCTTTGCACTTCTCGGAATAGGTTAAACAAAATAAACATAACGCTTCATGCCAAACTAATTAGCACTCAGAAAAGATATTCAGCATACCTCGCCATTTTTGTAAGACTTATATTTCCCTCCGTCGCTGTAGGTCAGTGTATATTTCGTAACCCACCAGTTAGCATCATATCTTCCCTGGGTCGCGATTCGGGTGACTTTTGTGATTTTTCCTAAGTCTATCTCAAGCCATTGACCAACATCCACGTGCTTTGAGGCCCAACCACCGTAATAGCTTCCCTCTTGCTTCATGTGTAACCTGCTTCTTTCAGGTCCAAAGTATTGGTTGTAGTCGGACGAAGACTTCAAGGCAGAGTTAGGAATAATTTTGCTTTCCATTCCGAGAGGTTTTGCACAAGCTATTTTTGGAGGATCGAATCCTGTTGGAGAAATGTAAGGGAACAAACATTTCTTTTCCAAGAAAGTAAGCTTCAAGGCCCAATTGTTCAAAGGGTCGATCAATTCAATCCCGCCCCCCCCCCCCCCCCCGGGAAAACCCCGAGCATTTGAACTTTTGAAGACTGGTTTGTTCCGCCCGTTTTTTTTGTTAATTGTAAAATCAGCGACCGTGGCTTCTACACATCATTGACGAAGCTGTAAAGCCTAAACCTTGTAAACCTTATCTTCTGAGCCATTCGCTTGCGAAGGTAAACTTTTTACCTTAACCACCTCCATATTTAAAGATATAACACCGGAAAGACTCGAAACTTCCGATTCAATTTCCCAATCCCAGCCGGACAAGGTTTAAATGCTCCACCTCCCGGGCACGAAAGACGGTCAAATGCCTGTGGGTTGCCGGGGGGGGATGTTGCGGCTTTGATTGGCGTATAACGTGATGCAACGGATAAATTGCTATGTAGTGGGTGACTGTCAATACAGCACACTGACAATAGGACAAAAGAAAGACAGACAATCACACCAATCCTTATAGGATCCCGTTGGATCATTTACCTTTACTGCAGCCATAAAACTCTGTTCTCATTGAGATGTGTCCATTCCATTCTTCAGGATGAATTCGAATGTATCGGGTTATAACTGGTTTGTACAAGGTGTTTCTTACCACTGTGTATCTATCAAAGTTCCCTTTAAAAATCTGTGCAAGAAAAATTTTTATGACGAATGTCAAAGTGTTGCTAACCTATTAACGAACGAACGAAAACAAACGTTCATACACCTTTTCAATGAACACCTCCACGTCAATAGATTACAGTGTGTAATAAAATGCCCGTGATACTGATAGTACAAAAATGTAAGTTCTTCTTTTTGCATTAGCACCTTATCGGACATATAAGCTGGTTTGCTTCCATTTGACTAAAAGATTAGGTGCCCCTCAAACTCGCAAAGCTATGCCCTGGTTCGATTACTCGATAGATATAAATATAGTTCGGTGCAGCTCCACGGATATATCAACAATGTAACAGTACTATCCAGTTTTTCTATGCAAAAAAAAAAACTGGAAAGAAGCTTCACCAGATGCCGGAGAGGGCATGGTATGTTGCCCTTACGAGGACGTGCGCACGGCTCTACTAACAACATACCTGTTTTGAAGCATGCTCGTTGTTTACAACTTCCCAAAACACAGAATCGTAGCTGAAAGAAAGGCTGTACAGTTTAACCCACTGATTAGAGTCCTGTCTTCCCTGTGTAGTAACAGCCGTAATTTTTCTCCAGTCTCCAAAATCAACCTGTAACCATTGAAACAGATTGTTGGTTCCGGCCGCCCAACTGCCATATTTTCCACTGCCAGACATAAGAAAATGAAGGCGGCCAACGGAAGGAGCAAAGCTGTTAGCGTTGGCTGAGGATGATGCAGAGATAGCAGAGTCGGGTATCTCACCGCTTTCCATACCCAAGGCCTCCATGCATTGTGGCGCTTTTGGTACTGAATCACCTGCACGAGCCAAACGTAAGTTGGTTTAAAGGACTGTGCGTGTTTGATATTTCAGTGGAGAGGGGAACAAGTTAAGTTAATACCTATCAGTGGTTATTCATCTAGTAACCGCCTTAAAAAAGGCAGTAAGAACTGATGTAATAAAAGTCTGTTTTACAGCGTCTTTGGAAATTTTAAGTGTTTGAACTAATGGTATTAGTTGTCAAAAGTCAAATAAGAAATCACCGTAGCGGTGGAAAGCTGATTTGATGATTTTTTAACCCTTTAACTCCCAAGATCTCATTATCAATTCTCCTTACTGTCTGCCATACAGTTCTTGTGATGTTAGTTTGGAGAATTTGGTATTTGATCAACTAATTATCCCCTAATTAAGATTTTTCTTTATTCTCATCACTTGTCTGCTTGATATTGTATTGATATTGTAAGGAGAAATTCTCTCTTGGTCATTCATGGGAGTTAAGGGTTAAGGATAATAAGAATCATTTTTTCCTGTGTTATCCATGCTCAAAGTGACGTTTTCCTAGCTTCTTTCTCTCACTAAAAAAACACACTCGAAAAGTGCCTGAATCGGCAACCTTACATTTCCTCAACAGTAGCTTGAAAAGTGAGTATGTCAGCTCAGTCAGGTCTCAGCCCCTCAATCCCCCCATCCCCTCGCCCACAAATGCCATCTTTCTCGGTCTAACAGGAGAGCTTTCGCATAACTCTCTCTTATTTTTCGTAGCAAGGTTCATTTGGCCTTGTGTGGCGTTGGCGTACCTTACTTTTCTATAATTTGAAGTTCCTCTGAAAAGGCATTTTTTTCTAATATTTTAAACACGAAAGAACATTTACGCTCCATATTGTATGAATCTAGATGAACTTAATGGTGCGTTGGTGACAGAAATTAAGACAATGGTAAGTAGAACGGAAGCCATCATAGTACCATCTACAGAGCACCCATATAACTCCACCCTCAGCGAGGGATATCCTTGATATGTTTTGACGTTGATTTTGATGTAGCGAGCCATGATGGGTGGGTCAATAATCCGGCCAACGGCAGTTTTGTAGTCGTAATTGCCGTGGAAAACCTTAAAAACAATGATACGTGAAATTTGAAGTTATATCATGTATATCGAAGTAATAAAACCTTACGTCAAATAATTGCTATCATAACCCACCCATTAATTGCAGCTCGATTTTATTGGCTACTTTACGTCACGTGGTGCAAAATCACCGGACAGTTTACAGCAATAATCCCTGTCTGCGTCGATATTTATCCTGCAAATGCTTGCGTCCAAAAGAAAAAAAAAACGGTAGAAGGTAAGCAGCCCAAAAGTTTCATCTTTTTTACTCTATTATTTTACATGGAAACTACAAAAACTCGTTTTGTAGAGTCTAGTGATAGTGATATTAAAATATGCATCCGCCACTAGATCAACAGTGAAGAGTTTGCTTCTCGGCCAAATATTAATTTTTCGGAAAATCTCGAAGCCGTGAACATTATTAGCCGACTACCAGCCGCCCAGAGGGTTTTTTTTACTGAATATTTTTCTGTTTTTTGAACGCTCGTCCGAAATGAAAGCATTTACACATTTAAGTATACGGTTGTGCTAAAAAATCTCAAGTGCTTGTTAAATAGACTATTCTATGACCTTCTGATTATTTACTCAGAGGTAATGAAATTATATCATTTGCGAGGAATAAGTACGTGGAGATGAAGACGGCATATTTTATAAACGTGGCTCCGATCGTAACAAGGACGAAGGAAGTTTATTCAAACGGTGGATAAATGGCAGGACAGTAATCCAGCAGTGAGCTGTTGTCGCACGAAATCCAGTTAGCATGGCGAAAAAACCACATGATAGATAAATAGCCAATCAGGAAGTTGCTGTGATGCTAAGCTACTAGCTTTTAAATTACAGTTTGCATCAACATGAGCGGCAGCAAAGAATAATAACGCACCTCATTCCCACTAATGTATGGTACAAAAGCTTCCCCATGAACACTGTATTCCAAGGTATAGGTCTTTGACCACCAGCCTGCGTCATAGCGCCCTTGTGTAGCGATCCCGGTCACGTTGGTCACTTTTTGCAGGTCAATCTGCAGGAACTGCTTATCGTCCTGGTATTGGGAAATCCAGCCTCCATTAAAGCTACCTAATCAGCGATATCAATGACTTGTGTTAATCGATACAGCTGCCTTATACTCGTCTACGTTATAAGTGTTCATGTTCCTCCGTTGTCCTCATGCAGCCAGGTTGCCACAAAAAATACATTTTCTGGGAAGCCAGCTATCTTTTTTCCTCTACACTGTACTTTCTGTGTGTTTTTTTTTCTCTTTTGAGTGGGTTTTTCGGTCTATGTTATTTTAGTTTTTAAAGGCTACTAGGAAAGGAAACTATAGGTCTACAAAAAATTTCTTACCTTCTTTCTTCTCGTTCAGTCTTCCGCGTTCAGGTCCCCACCATTGGTTGTAACGCGATGATGCTACGATGGCCGAATCTGGAATCGCGCCGTTTTCAATTCCCAGAGCCGAAAAACATTCTATCTTAGGAGCTTCGACGCCTGTTTTGAATTTAAAGGGAAAAGGTAGTCATTCTTCTATATGCTGTGTGAAATCTTTAAACTGATTAGTAGATGTTAGATTGTTCCTCAGACACCTTAGATACCTTCAGACACCTCATGAAGCCATGTTATCTTCAGCTTTTCAGATGTTCAGAGATGATGACGGTAGGTCGTTTTTGATGATAATTGATAGCTACAAACATCCATTATGTAAGTGCGTTACATCCATCTGCATTACATGACATAATATTGCTATTGTAAGGTTTTTCCACTGATTGAGTTCATCATGCAGCCAGTGATTAGTTTCCAACCTCATTACGTACTTTTCAGCAATTATGAAGCAGTCTAAAATTATTTTAAAGCGGCAGAAATACAGAAAGGAGATACTGCACTCCTAATCCAAAGTTAGAGTTAAGAATCAGCTTCTTTATCAGAGAATGCATTACTCGTTAGTTGTAAAGGAATGAGATAAGCTCTGAATTTCATGCGAAATGCAATTTATACAAGCTGGATATATATTTTCCGTGACTGGAAGAACCCTAGCATCAGTGATCTAATCCAATTTGCTTTTCCATAAGTAGATAAAAAAGTAGATTCTGGAACGCTGACGATGTTGTCTTCTCAAACGTTCATTTAAATTGCATTTTTCATCTTTCTGACCCTAGTTGGATTAAATCGCGTTTATTTTTCTATACCCTCTCAATTTAGATAAGAATAATAACCTGCTACCTTCAATGCAACCGTAAAATTCCGTTCTCATGGACACATGTCCATACCACTCTTCAGGATGAATCTGGATGTACCGGGTTACAACTGGTCGGTCCAGCAAGTTCCTCACAACCGTGTATCGGTCGGAGTTGCCATTGAAGACCTGTGGAAATAATAACAAGCCTTTCAAGCGTTTCACAGCAGGGATTTTACATATACATCATGGATGCACTTGTCAAGCAGTCAATAGCTGTAAGCTCTGATTCAAGTTCGTCTATGAAGATTACTGAGGTCTGAGCTACGTAATTTTTAGATCAACGTCAGTATCTGAGAACTGTGTACGTACCCCTTATCCCCCCCACCCTCAACCCGACAACAGTCAATTGATTACAACTTAGAGTTAATATTGGGTTATGAGAGGTGTAGGAACGCAAATGCTAAGATATGGACATTTATCCTAATTGTTTTTAAGGGAAGTATGATGGCTTACATCAGAAACTTGCTTCAATTTCAAATTACATGTAAGTGTTGTGACAAATGACCGATGGATAATAAGTGAGAAAATCTGAACCACAAATGAAAAATTCCATGAAAGGAACTGCAGAAAGTAAAGCCTTAAATTCGGGCTCGACAGGGGCTAACATCGTATCACCCAAAAATCGTTCTGCGTAAGTTTAATTCTACCGCATTTATTTTATGTCACTGATTTTAACATTTCGAACGGAACAGAACAAATCAACCAAAGTGTAGTCGCCTAATTCTTCATCTAAGATTAACTAACCATTTTAATACCTGTTTTGAGCCTTGTTCGTTTTTAACCGTTGCCCAAAACACTTCATTATAGCTGTACGAAAGGCTGTACTTTTTAACCCATTGATTGGAGTCCTGTCTCCCTTGTGTGGCGACAGCTGTAACTTTTGTCCAACGGCCAAAATCAACCCGGAACCATTGCATTAGATTGTTTGCTCCGGCAGCCCAGCTGCCATATTTTCCACTGCCAGACATAAGAAAATGAAGTCGGCCAACGGAAGGGGCATAGCTGTTAGCGTTATATGAGCTAAATGCAGAGATAGCGGAGTCAGGTATATTGCCGTTTTCCATGCCCAAGGCATTCATGCACTGTGGCGGTTTTGGGACGGAGAAACCTAAATAGCAGTGTGTAAAAACACATGTGAGAAAATAGGTGTGTTTTTTTATGTGCAAAACTTTGGTCACTTTGGTTAGTTGGTGTGACGAGAAAAAAAAATGGCACAGCTACGCCAAACTAGAAAAATGCTAGGTAAAATATTTCATCAACGTGCGTTCTCGATTAGGCCTAAAAACACAGCCAGGTGTTCAAGCAACTGAGTAGGAGAGAAACCGTCTGCGAACCGGGACTGGTCTTAAAATATTGGGCCATCGAGAACTGTTAAAACAGATTGCGAGTGTGTCTGTCAAGCTAAAATTCTCTTGAGAAATTTCAAACAATAAGTGCCCTACACTTTTGTGTATGAGAAAGCCAATAAAGCTGTTAAACAGCCAAAAACCAAAATGTAAATTCGAAAGCTGATTAGCAAAAGAAGGCATGTTTCAACCAACGAACATTTTTGAAAACTGAAAACTCGTCTGACACTTAAACCATGATTTATGAGCACGTTGGAAGGGTGGATCACAAAACGGCTTCTAAAAGATAAAAAAATATTGAGAATTTGTCTCTGGTGCGTTTGGAAGCATGCTACCTCGTCACCTTTCCCCTGTACTTCCATGGAAATTCATTTATGATACTACACATACCTTTGGTGCATCCAAATAATTCCACTCTCAATGATGGATATCCAACGAATTCTTTGACGTTGATTTTGATGAAACGAGCTACAATGGGTGGGTTGAGGTTATGGCCAACAGCAGAAGTATAGTCAATATTTCCTTGTAGAACCTTTGGAAGATCAAAGTATTTATTCAAACAATTAAAAACATACTTTTGTTTAAACCTTGTTTGAATTCATCATGGTAATAGGACCGAATGAAATCCAATTCGCCCTTGAAAAAAACAGCTCGACGGTGAGGCAGAAGTCCGACTTTTTGATTAGGATTCTAATAACAGATAGAATTAGACAACGCAAATTCCTGTTGCCCGTAAATCAAAATGACTGTGACAGTAATTGACAAACAAAATATGAACCAGTTAAACGTATACATAAAAATAAAAAACCACAGCAGTGGACTATTTTCCACAAGTCTTTATAACAGCGCGAGCAAATAGAGTGCATTGTTTAATCACGTGACGAATTAACTCTCCAATTCAGTTGTCCAGTAACTGAGGAACTAGCGCTTAAATCGTGATGTTGTTACCCCCGCCACGATTGTAAAAATTGGTATGGTTGAATTGATAGGCTATGTGATAGAGATATAAATTACCTGGCCATCATTATACGATAAAAATTCTCCTCCGTGTACACTGTATTCCAGGGTATAGGCCTTTGTCCACCAGCCGGCGTCATAGCGCCCTTGAGTTGCAATCCTGGTCACCTTGGTAACATTCTGTAAGTCAATCTGTAGGAACTGTTTATCATCTTTGTATTGGGAAACCCAGCCTCCTTGGAAACTCCCTAATAGAAATAGAGATTATTCCATGGAAATTGTGCACTTCCGATTTCATTCATGAGTTGCGATGCATCAAAAAAACGAACGAATGAGTGCAGTGAACAAGTGAGGTATTTCTTTTACGCATCCAAAGGCATTTTTGATGCATCGCAATATTGCATCGAGAGAATGAAAATCTTTCAAGCAATTTCCATGGTATGATGTATTTATTTCATAAATATTGAGATTTTTTCACATTTCAATTTGAAGATTGGAAGCGAACGACTATGAAAATACATCATCAGTCCAATCAGAGACACAAACGATAATACTTTACAATGTACTTTTCAGTAATATATATGAAATAAATAAGCATTCGCAATTAATATCAAACATTCATCAAATTCACTTCATTTCAAGGCAATTTGTGCATTTCTGTTAAAAAAGAGAATAAGCCATATTTAATTTGAAGAAGTCAGGCGGCATCTTGATAGGGCAGAATCGGTTTCCCACCAAAGATCAAATTTCGACCAAAGCTAACATTAACGGACGAGCTTAATCTAAGGTGGCTCCCTAATTTTTTTGTACTTTTTCAATACATGAAGTTAGTGACCGTCAATGCTTTGCAACGTCTGCAGCATTTCATTTAAGGCATAAATCGCAATAACAGGAGCAATATTTCAACAGAGACTTGATTAACGACGTAAAAGGCTCAAATTCTGATTTGAATGAATCAGATAAATGAGTAAAATGTAAAAGAAAAATCTAGTGATGCGCAAATAAAGGAATGAATGAATTAATCAGTCAATTAAATCAATTTCCAATTCAACGTAAGTAATCCGAGAGAGAGTCCATTGCTTTTGCTTCACCCTGTGATAGTTCCAGAAACCTCGCACCACTTTCTCAAACAATCAGGTGCCAAACTAAAACAAATCACGACTTCTTTTTTACTGCACTTTAGGTTGTTTGGTTGCTTTTTCACTTTGAGTTCTCATTGGCTCTTAAAGATATTTTTTCTCTCTTCCGATTGGGCGCTATGGTTACTTTGGTTTTAGTTTTGCGACATTAAATCGTAAAGCGCTCTAATCAATCAATCAATCAATACATACATACATAGATTAAACAATATCTAAACCAGTAACTAAGCCTGCTATCATTTAAAGGAGGGACCACGAACCATCAACTGCCTCGTTGAATCTTCCACGCTCAGGCCCCCACCACTGGTTATAGCGCGACGACGCTACAATGGCTGAATCTTCTATGTCACCGCTTTCCATCCCTAGAGGCGACGCACACTCTATTTTGGGGATATCAAATCCTGGTTGCGAAAAAAAAAAAAAAAGGACAGGAAAATTGTATTATTTTAAAAACACCATCATCTTTACTACCTGGAATTATTTGAATTGCTACCTAAAAAGTAAAAACATTTTCCTATTTCTTCATTTATAATAATACCGTAACGATATGATTGCTTGATCAACCAGGTACTCATCGGTAATGTGGCACGATAAGCGAATTTCTTTTATGCCGCAATCCCCTTCGTGAATTTCAGGTACCCTTTTTAAAGAAAATGATTCGACATTGAATAAAAGGATCTCATATGTTGAGAGAAAAACGTACCAGATTCACAGCCATAAAAACCAGCTCTCAAGGCAATATGCCCATGCCATGACCGAGGAATAATTCGCACATATCGCGCTATCACTTGTCCCCGCTCCAGCAAATGGCAAACGGGCATAAATTGGTCTGTGTTTCCCTTGAATGTCTGACAAGATACAACAAACGTTTAAAGATTAAATTAGCTAGATTTTTATAGTTTTACATCAAAATAATTTAAAACGAAATAATTTAAAACAACTATTCACATCTGTGTCGGTGTCACCGCTTGCCACCGAGACTGAGGTGAACAGTTTTTTTAGTTCATACTAGAACAGTGAGATAAAATAGCACAAAAGAGATGATTTAAACTCATTTACCCCTGTAAAGATTACAAATCCCGTGCGAATTGCTTAGAGGTGAACGGCAAAGGGTATTCGAAGTTTGACTAGCCACTCAGAGCGCGCCTTTAATACCATCCACGAAGATATACGATCTTAAGTCAGCGAGAGTTTATACATAAATCCATGTTTACTTCCGTAGTGCTTACCGCTAAATATTTGGTGAAAAGGCCGCTATTAGTAATTTTTTTCTTCTGTTTGATTTTACATTTTGCCTCTGGATAACATTAAGAATTACAGACTTTCATTCCTTAGATTGTAAGAGCTGCATCGACTCGAAAATCATTTTATAATATAAAACCACTTGTTTTCTAACTATAAGAACATTTCTTCTTGAGGATACGGAATTTTCATTTCGGCAGCCAGTATTAAGAAAAGTCTATTCATCGCTAAAATAAGTCGTTCATTACCCCTTGGAGCGTTCTGTAAAAGACTCCATCATAACTGAACGCCAGTGAGTAGCTAGTCAGCCACTGTGCCGCATCTAGCCTTCCTTGGGTGCAGAATCTCATCACTTGTCTCCATCCGCCTAAGTTCACTTGAAGCCATTGGTTCTGGTCGTTTGTTTTGGCCAGCCAGCTTCCAGAACCTCCCTGATACTGTTGGTAAAGACGACCTTGGCTCGGCCGGTAGTTGTTGTTATAATAGGAAGAAGCAGTTATGGCTGAATCAGGGATTTCGTTGGGATCTTCCATTCCAAGTCCATCCATGCACGTAGGAAAAACTGGAGGTTGGAAGCCTTGAAAAGCAAAAAATAAAAAGACAGGAGAACAGGGCATAAGTAGTTATATTCTCACATGCAAGCGTGAATACTCGGTAAATGCTAAGAAACAAATCAGCGTATTAGTGTTAATAGGGTGTACAGTTACCTGAGTCACAACCAACAAACTCAAGCCTCATTGAAATGTATGCATGCCATTCCACCGGGTGAACACGAAAAATACGGGCGATGATTGGTTCGTCCAGCTTGGTTTCCGCGACAGTCTGATAGTCTCTATTGGCATAGTATTCCTAGAAAGAAAAAAAAAACATTCAGTATACTTACAAACGTTTTTTGCTTATTTAACAGATATTGTTGGGTTGTTGTTAGACCCATAGCGGTATTTTTACTCTTTTTTTTTTTTACAAAAAAGATCATTCCATCCAAAACTATACGTGACATTTATTTTTGGATGTACATAAAGTTCGCGATAAGAAAGAAAAGTTAGTTACATAGGTTTCTTGCTTTAAATCTACAAGTGGAATCTATATTTAGACTCAGTTTGTGATTTTAGGCAACGCTCAGTGATTGGTCTAGAAAGCTCCCGTCAAACCAATAAGATACAAAGTTTACTACAAACAACGACTTTTACTCCAGTTTGCCTCAGTGATTTCTTTGGTTTTGGTTTACTACAGGAAGCACTCAGTGTTCTCTGCAATGAGGGAAGGCTCCCAGCTCGTAAATAGCTCAAAATTATCTCTATTGGTGGAATTTTAAAGCTCAAATTGTTCAGAGCAGAAAAATAATTTCACTTTATGTATTTTTCTATGAAAACTATTATATATTTTTACCCGCGGAACATTGTAAGGATGGTGAAGTTGAAACGAGAAATATCCTCCATCAAGGCTGTAAGACACTATAAACTTGGTCACCCATTGTGCGGCGTTATGGCGTCCTTGGGTCAAAATCCTCGTTATTTTGACAATCTTTCCAAAATCCACTTGGAACCACTGGCCCTTGTCGTTGCGCTTAGCAATATAAGTGGTCTGGTGGTTGAGCCTTCCTTTATTTGCTGCATAGGATGCGCTATACTGCAAATATAAAAAACGTCAAGTACTGACTTAGTTCTGCGATGTAGCCTCTAGGACAAGCTTGTTTTCAAAGTTCCACCTTGCCGAATGAATTTTCAAAAGTGCAGTATCGAAACTTTCTAAGGGGTGAATAAGCACCCTTCACTTAGATTCTTCTTGAGAAAAACAGCTCATGGTCATGAAACTCAATTTTGCAGCAGAAATTACCTTGATCAAGTTACGAGATACAGTGTGTATTGAGGTGCGACCTTCAGATGGGAAAACCGTGACGCGACATGCCGTGACACGTCGCGTCACCGTGACCGTGACATGCTGGTATTGCGTGACGCGCAATACCAACATGTTAATAAGAAAGAAGGGTCTGCTCTTAAAGCTGTGGATTAATCGAAATAAGCGAGTTCGGAAATTAATAAGCAAGCCCATTGATCTATTCTCCAGTTTTGATCGTGAAACAACCTCTATAAATAACCAATATATATTGAAAAAAAATAGGAAACGGTCGAACGGTAGAACGGTGGAATGGCTGAACCGAGGAATATCTTTAAACGCGGAATGCTTTGTTGTATGAGACAAAAATCGTGCAAGAATGTATTTGCAATAAAGTAATAATATTAATTATAACTAGGAAGCAAAAGTACTTTCATAAATACCTCACTAGCAGACGATAATGCGGAGTTTGGAATTTTTCCATCTTCCAATCCCATCTTATCCATGCAATCTTATTGAATAAAAAGACAGGAAAGGGATGAATAACGTTGACGCAAAGTATAATCAGAGATTAAGGGCAGTTTATTTTAATGAATTCAAAGATATTTGTTGAATGTTTCTACCAATTGTAAACTTGTACCTCAAAATCATTGTAACAGACATCACAGTACAGTTCTTCAATTGTTTGAACAAGTATTACTAGTAAATAAAGTTGATCTGGAGCTTCGGTCTGTGTCTGAGGTTTCTAGTTCTTGATGACCGCAAAATGATAAGAAAAAAGATCGAGTTAAACCAGACAGTTTCAATATGCTCATTCTTTTTTATTTCTCTACTTACACTTTGAATTAGGCTTATATCAAGTAAATAAAACTCACAGCTCACTAATTTTTCCCCTTCACTTCTCTGTAAGTCTATTGGGAAAACTGGTGTTGTATAAGATACTGCATTCATACCCATGCAATTTTTTTTATTTGAGAGACACAATTGAATATACTTTACTCTCCGAACATACCTCCAGCAGCAAAACCTGAAAAATAATTCGAAATTATAGTAAATCGACTGATATTCATTACAAATACTGCATAAAAATTTTGGCCTGACTGAATCAAAATCGTCTCTTAGAATAAAAGATATTTAAAGTCTAATTCACGTTGTTTGCAAGATGCAATGTCATCTTTAGGAAAAGTTTGAGGAATTCCGGAACGATATTCTGGATATTCAGGGGAGGCGTGCATGAGTAATTAAGATGAGACCCGCTGAAAGTCACTTTGTAATAACTAGTTAATGATAGTAATAGAAATAAAAATGGAAATAATATTTAAGAATTTAAGTATGGACATTCTACTAGGTGGCTCTTCTTTTCCTCTGTTTCCAGATCGAATTGGAATGTGAGATTTTGGAGTTAGTGGAAAACCGGAGGATCCAGAGGAAGAACCTCGAAGCAAGGACAAGAACCAACAACAATTCAACCCACACATGTGACACCAAGTCCGGGAGTGATTGAACCCAGGCCACAGTGGTGGGAGGCGAGCGCTCTCACCGCTGTGCCACTCCCCACTCCCCAGCATAAGTGTGATAAACAGCTACTTTAATTGAACCTGCGCACAGCATGAGTACAAAACAAATAATTTTTGGTTCAATTTAAGCATTTATAACGACTTTGTTGAAACTCATTGCTTATTTCGATATGAATTTTAAAAAGGGGCAGATTCATAAAATAAAACTTATTTGAAGAACTGAGACAGAAAATATCTGACTTATCTGCCAGCCTAGCCAATCAATCAGCTAGTCACCTGAGGTATTTATATGTCTCGCTCTAGAACAAGTGGGGAATTACAGAATTCTAAACTAACCAAAAATTGAAAGTCAAAATGATCGTAACTACTTCAAAATGATAAGCTTTTGCGTCAAAAATAGACGATTCGTGATATCAGAATAACAAGTGTTATTCTGTGTTCTGTTCTGAAACTAGTGTTCTGAAACTAGACGGGAAGAGTGCCAAATGAACTTAAAAATATTTCAGCTTTCGGCCCTTGAAAAAAAACTTAAAAGCTTTATTTTAAAAAGATTTAAAGCTGGACATTGTGAATAGATCAGCGCGCAGTAACACTGGTTTTCGATTTGAATTAGAATTAGCTCTCATAAAGGTAGCTCCAAACCAAACAGTGGCTCTGATACTGAAATGGCCACGATAAAACCTCGACGAAACACGTGAAAGGCGAGGCGACGAGACTACTCAAATCAGGCTATCTCCTGACGTTTTCTTTTAATTACTGTTAAAGATAGAAAGAGAGGCTATGTACCCGACGGAACGTAACCATAATCAGTTTATCCCATAGATTAATAGCTTACCAGTAATTTTATCTGTCACTCCCAGGAGTCAGGGAAGCTGCCTCCCACCAAATAGGAATAAAAAAACATGACTTACCTACTTCAAGAAATAGTCTGAGCAAGATTACAAATTTCACTCCAGCGCCCATTTTGAGTTTACAACGAAATGTTACAACAGTGGTCGCCTCAAGGAAAACTCTATGGTATCTCAGACTTAACGTAAACTTGTAATTACTTAAACGTGTAATGGAACAAAATGGGACTCTAACTTGATGAGAACCAAAGAAAATTCACGGAATACATCAAGACGTGTCACTTTCGGTTAAACGAGCCAATCAGAGTCTACATAGAAAAAAGTCGAATGATAGTCATTTACGACTGAAAATTTTTTAAGTGACCATCTATGTGGCCATGGTATCAGGGTTGTTGATTAAACTGGGAAACAATTGCTTTTTTTCTCCTTTAAAATTTGTTTACACAATTCCGCTGTGTTTGAATTGGTTATTCCTTTGAACATTGAAAAAGAGTAATATTCCCTGCACTGTAACAAATTAAATGAAGAAAAAAAGGTGTTACTAAAATATGTTTATCATAAGTGTAATTCAGAACTTAAAATTTTACACATTATCTTCAAACAGTGAATTCAATTTTACAGCAATATTCTCAAGTAATATTGTAATAGTAAACACGTCTCTTACATCTAGACGCTCAAATATTTGTGTCTTTTTTAAGTGGTACATAACTATTTGTTTTTTCTGAACAACCGTTCGCATGAAAGTTGAAAATGGTCGGAGTATCTTAACTAGTAAACAGAAACATCAATTAATTAGTATCATTACCCTTAAAATACCCATGTTTCCTTTTTTTTAACATTTTGAACGATTTTAGGTTGTTTACGCTTGATTCAAAGAAAATTAAAAGACCCCCACACTCAAACTGTGAAAAGATCCCTCAATAGGAAAATGACATTTACAACATAAATATAAGCACGTTCTCTTGCAGTTCTGATCGCAATTAATTGTGCTTATTTACTTTGATTTGAAAGACAATGGAAAACGTATCGGAGGTTAGCTTTAGGTTAGGAGGTTAGCTTTGCCCCCCAGATTATGATAATGTCGAACTTTGAACATTGCACTTTTTAAATGAAAGCGCTGTATTTCTGATACGTTCATTTCCGTGAAGTTGAAACTAAGTCTTCGTCCCTTTGTCATTTTGTTACTTTTAAATTGCCAAAATTGAAGGACCATTGAAGAAGTTTTGTTTTGCACTTTGCCGCATGTACTATTGTAAACATAGTATAATCACTCTATGCAAATAACAATTTTATTTGTATATCTTGGAACTGCTATATGCAATGCCAGTAAGATAATCTTTATCTATCTTAAACATATCTTGTATCAATAAAATTTACAACATAAATGTAAGCACGTTTTCCTGCGGCCCTGATAACATTTAGTAATGTTTTATTATCTTGTTTTAAAGAATAATGAAAAAGGTATGGGAGGTTAGCTCAGCCCCCTAGATTATGATAATGAATAACTTCGAACAGGTTACTTTTTAAATGAAAGCGCGTATACTATTGTCTTATACGAAGTCTTCATCCCTTTGCCATTTTGTTACTGTTAAACTGTCAAAATTGAAGGGCCATTGAGAAATGTTTTGTTTCAAGTTTTTTTTCAATGTTTTTTGCAGCCACACACACTATTGTCAACACAGTATAATTACTTCATGCAATGACAATTCTATTTGTCTATCTTTGAACTGCTATATTTCTCTAACACCAGGTGATACTTAGAACCCGTGCAAAACGTTTTTCATGTACGAGCTGTTTGTCTAAACACACACCGTACCAAATATTGGTGGGTTTGTAACCACTCAAAGCGTTAGAAGTACAGAAATTCGAAGGTGATCTTCCGTCCTCATCAAATTTAGTTTTGCAAGACTCATGCAAGTGATATTTTAAGTTGTCCTTTAATGGTATGTTGGGTAATTGATTAAATTGACGATTCGATTGAGGCCCCGCGCTACTGTATTTCTTTTTCTCTAACAAGCTTTCGCCGATCTACGACATCGTCATTCGTCGTCATTCCCTGACGATGCCGTAGATCGGCGAAAGCTTGGAACAGTAAACGAAATACAGTAGTGCAAGGCCTCAATCGAATCGTCAATTCAATCAATTACTCATACAGTTGAAATGAGCTCAATGTGCCGAATGTGCTTTCCCTTCCCATTTTGCTTGGCGGCGCATCAAAGCGGCCGTCCACGTCAAGAATTCACAAAACCACAAGATTTGGCGGTCAGATCACAGTCAGATACAGAAAACTTGGCAACAGAAAAAATTCTAGTGAGTTAGGCCATATACTCGGTTTACATGTGAAAATTGTCCTTATAATGTTAGATAAACGTCTTCCAAAGCTCTCGGTGTGGAGCGAAATTCTTATATCTGTTACGGAGCGTAAATTATATATTTATCATATGGCTTAGGTTTGTGGCCGATATAACGCGCGCTCTGATTTGCTGAGTGAGATCAACGCAGGGTATTAAGCTCCCGTAAAATCATGGGCTGATTACGGATTTTGCGAAAAGGTAAGAACACAGAATTTCTTTCAAGGATTGCGACTTTTTCTTAGAGGAAAACCGTCAGTGTCAACAACGTAATTTTTCGTCGATTGATATGGGAAGATGTTAACCTTGGGAACTACAGCAAAGGTTTTAATGATATCCACAGAAAATAGGCTTAATGATGACAAAACCTAACAGGCAAACTTGTTTCCAACGATGAGGTTCAAATGGTGAATCCTTCTTCAAAAATTCCTTTAACGACTTTTTCTTAAAAATTTAATATTTTTCGTTAAGTAAAAATGCTGACGCCAACTCGCAAAAATAAGTGTGACGTTTGAAAAAATATTCAGGGACTGTATTCCGTAGCGTTTACATTTTCATTCACCAAGAGACCTTACATACTTGGGCCAGTGGTTTGAGGGAGACTTCTGTCTTTTCTGTATGCACTGACGGAGTTTTGCCCTGAGAATCGGACAAAATTTCTCTTAATAAGTTGTGACACCGCTACACTGAAATAAATTTACGCTTTCGAGAGCAATTTTTTTCTCGAAAATGCATTTGTCTCCTTGACGGAATGCTGAATAGTACACCGACTTCATTTGCGTTGATAGACCGTGGATTTAAATCGATGAATGAAAAAGTAAGCGCGCGCATCGCCGGATGTAAGGTAACGACTTCTGATTGCATGTATTTCCCTTTTCTTCGGAAAATGTTGTAAGCCAACACTTAGGAAGACGTTCATTCAATTCATATTTTTAGGTTGTACTTCGCGAATGGCTGGATGTGAATACCGTCCCCTACAGCATCAAAACTTCAGCATAACGTATGTTCCAGGTGGAACTTCACTATTTTGCCGTGGGGGTTTTCGTTCTCGGACCACGCAAATTGTTTTGATTTTAAGTTGCTCATTTGCAGGGACGACCACGAAATATACACAGTTTTAAAACGCACGTGCTAAGCTATTGTTCAGGGCCCAGTTATACAAAGAGCGGATTACACTATCCAACGGATAAATCGCTATCTAGCGGATAAGTAATAACAAAACTTATAGCGTTATCCGCCGGATAAAGATTTATCCTGTGGATAGCGTTATCCGATCTTCTTTTGTTTTGCTGCGTCCTCGTTGCCGTCGCCGTCTCGTTTTGCTAAAGTTCCCTCTGACTTGCTGCTATTTTATGACCATTAGTGGCCAGAGAAATAAAGAAAAATAATTTTAAACTCGATTATATTTCTTATTATTTTGGTAACTAGCGCTTCTAAGAAGAACCTCTCATCCCTCTTTGGGACCATGGCGTGGATCCTTAGGATACTTAAGTAAACGATCATCAACTCAACTCCTTTCGCATGAAAGCCTTGGAAATCAATTAGCCACTGGTGGGGGGGGGGAGCCAATAAGGTGGTACATCTTGCTTTTTTTTTTTAATCGTCATGATAACGCAAAAGAAGTGGAAAATCTACCACAAATCTATGATAATCCGATGATGATGGCGCAGCGTAACTACGCCAAACGCTTCTCCTGTCAAATGACAATGCAGTGTAGAGGTTTATAGCGATAGAAATAAGAGTGGTATAACCAAGGACTGAGTAAAAGATTATCATTTCAAATACTTATGATCTTTACGTGGTAAGGAAAATTTGAAAAAAACAATTTTAAACTTCATTATGTTTCAAATTGGTTGGTTAAATAGTGCACTCTAGAAGAACTTTTAATCTCTCTTTAGGATTGCAGTGGGGATCATTGGGATACTTATGAAAACGATCATCAACTCATGCAAATTCTTGTGATTAAAGATTGGTAAGAGAAATATGAGCAAAGAATCTTAAAATTGGTATAATCGCAAATCCACTTAGTAACCAACGAGGTACGGTGCGAAAGGTACTTAGCTCTCTCTTAAAGGTTGTGGCACGTACAGCTGGATACCTAAGAAGGCAAAGTGTTATCACTGGAGACTAAAATTCCCAAGATTATATCGTGCTGAGAGAAATAAGAGGGGAGAGTTTTAAATTTTATTACAACTCTAATTAATAATCAGCGCAGCATGAATGAAACCGCCTTGAAGTATTAGGACATTTCTTCACGATCAAGTCTGGATAACAAGTATAAATGTATAAAGGGTTTTTATTATAAAAACTTGAGATTATAGGACGGTAAATAAAGCAAGAGAGAGGAATTTTACACCTTAAATATCTAGTTGATGAATAGTGGTAATGTAAGTTGAAAAAAAAGAAAAACCGTCCACTGAGAGGCATTAGTATTCCTCTGTAGAATGGTGACCGAGGTGTCCAGTATAACGAAACGATTTGATTATAAATGCTTACGGATATACCGTGGTAAGTGAGATAAGAGAAAACATTTTTAACTCAGTTGATAATTGATATTGGCAGTGCAGCTTTCAAAAGATCGTCTACGAGGTACAATTGTGTGTATTAGAATTCCTCTCTATTTTCGTGGCATAGGTAATTAGGATAACCAAGTCAAAGATTATCATAACAAATTCCTATAAGATTATACAGTGGTAGGAGAAATGAGAAAAAATAATTTAAAATTCAATTACATGTCTATTTGTTTTTGATCACCAGTGCAACT